AGAGTGTGATCTGGATATCTGAAGCTGTCAGCTAAGTTTTGTTACTACTCTGAAAATTTAAGATTCCAATACCTGATACCAAAATAACCACTACTCTTGGACACAGTAATTCTTGGAAGCAGTGAAAGCAAAAGGATTTTTAAAGAGTGATAAAGATTTTGGGCTAAAGAGATTACCTATATAATATTCTACTGTATAAAGATAACTAGACAACAGACAAGGCAGGGGTTAGCAGACTGGTGAGTCAAACAACATCGAACAGTCAATGCCTTGCCCACTATGTTGACATCTACTGGACAACAATATATATTGTCTTAATTGAGCTGTACAAGTTACCTTCTTCCAAAAAGTGGTTTTACATAATGTTGTAACAATTATTCTACAACAGAATTAAAATAACTGTATAAATTCTCCATGTTCCAGAATTATTCTGCCCTTTTTTGAAATAGTATCACTAATTCAGCTGAAGTCACACTTCTAACAAATACACTAAACTGATATAACACAACAACTCATTAATACATATATATTTGAATAAATATGATCTTCTTAAGGAGAATCTAGCTCATGAACTGTCTTATGTTTTCTGTACTAACAGTCTAGCAATAGTTAAACTCCTTTCCTATTGTAATGTAAAAATGCACAAGGTTTTTTTCTGGTAAGGATAATACAATTTCTCTGTAAGCAAACTATACAATAAGGCACTTTTCTGAACTCTGATTATTTCTGATGACTTATTTCAAAGTGCATCTTTCTGAGAAGGTTCTGAACATGTTTGCTTGATTAAACCATGAACTCTATTTTCCAATGAAATCCAACTTTCAAGAGACCACAGATTTACTCGCTCTTTACCTAAATCAGTTATGAGTATGGGCTCCTGCAAAGGAATGTCTGGTACTGGAACACTCGTCTTCCCTACTCGAACTTTTGCAGGTTTACGCTGATGTCGCAGCTTTCTTAGTTCAGTATGCTTAAAATGTGAAGCAATATGAGTTTTCCGGTGACCCGATGTTCTAAACTTTTTGTCACAGTGTGGACAAGCAAAAGGCCTAACACCTGCAAAAGATTAAAAAAAAAAAAAAGAAGAAATTTTAGTTTGTGATTTTCTTTCCACTGCCCTAGAAATGTAGCTTTGGAATACAGACTGTCTTTTCTGTATTTTCTTTTTTGTTTCCTACCAGGGTTTTTATTTTTTAATAGATTTTCAAAACAGATCCATAATTAACACACTTTAAGCAAGCTTGTTATCAGGGAACTGGATGATGGAAAAGTGACAGCAATTTTCAAAGGGTTCCAGAAGCTTCCCTGGAATTGCAGATAGCAGGTCAAATGTCCTTCCAAAATAAGCTGTTGAAAAACTGGGAGAAAACAGAACAAGCAAACACACTGATAAATGAAACACAATAGGATAAAACAGAGGAACAGTGATGTGACGAAGTTTAAAGAAATTCTAGATCGGTCTCTGAAAATATCAACACTGTTTGATGGCAGTCAAAAAAGCATGCCGACAGGAATTATTAAAGACTTCTGCAATGCAAAATCCAGTAGAAATATCTCATTGGAAAGGATGTTGGCAAACTTGGTAAATTACAGAGACAGGCAAAGCTGACAAGCTTTCAGCTTTTGTTCAAGGGGAAGTCTTGGAAGGCTAGGAAACATGACTGGGTGTTATGAAGAAAGCTCTAAAATAACAGGTGGAAAAAAAGCACAAGAAATAAGAATGAACCATTCTTTACAATACAGTCACTAAAACATCATATGAAACTACCGACTTAAAGCAACAGAAAGTACTTTATGCAACATGTAGCTCAACACTCAAATTCATTATTTTAGGTGGTTGTAGTAGTAAGTTCACATCGGTTCAAAATCAATTAGCTATATTCTTTGGAACAAAAGTCTGCAAAGTGCTTCTTAGTGTGGAGGTACAGCCTGCTTCATGACTCTGCTAAGCAGCATTACTGTATGTAGGCTCCCCTTTTTCCACACGTTGCCAACAGAGACCTCTAACCTGACCCAGTAAGCCCAACCTGCTAGACAGAGAAAAGAGCAAACATCTCTTAACAGGAACACGCAGTGCTGAACAATGCCTAACTACATGCCAGAGCTCCACAAACACTAGACTACCTGTTTTTCAAGCCACCTCGTGCTTTTGCCACTTTGAATGAGTGACTTCTTAAATAAAGTAAGGTTGACTTTAAAGTAACACAAAAATACTGGGTTACAAGTTTAGAAAAAAACAAAGTGAAAAACCTTCTGCAGATGAATCCAACACTGATGTGTCATGGAATAAAGGCATCTGACTATAAAACATACTCAACACCAAACGCACACAGCCAATGAATGATACTTTTGCAGAATGTAAATACATAAAGGAGTGAAAGATCAACACATTTATGAGTTCTTCTGGCTGAAAGCTTATTTACCTGCAAGAACAAAGACAGAAAAGTGCAAAACAACAGGTAGTCCACCAAGAGTGGAAAATTCATTTTTGTCTGTGCAGAGGATAAAAGTTCAGCCACAGATAAACAGGTATTCGAGACATCATATATGATGCAAACAAGGATCATATGAACAGAGGGGCTCTAGGGCACGCAGTAGGAGTCAATGAAAACAGGTAAGTTGGTGAAAACACGAAACAAGACTTTATTGTTGAAGATAAAATGGGAAGTAATCAAATAATTAAATAGTCCCAAGTGATACAGTGAAATTATCAGGAAGTGTGGGGAAGATGCAGCGTAAACATGGAAGTTGACTGTGGATAAGTAACATCAGAACTCAAATTCTAAGAGTATGACTCTCTAGAAAACACAGTTAAATACACTCACAACAGTGATATTAAAAAGGAGCAACAGCTGACTTATCATCAGAAAACTAAATGTCCATGGCTTTTGAAAGGATCCAAACAAAGTTTCAAATCCATGAAACACTAGAAAGTTAATGTTTCTAGACAGAAAAATTTAAGGTCATCATATAAGACACTAAAACTGGTTCACTCTCTGACAGATATCAATCATGACAGACATCTCTGCATTTTAAGTGCTTCATACTGTGTTTTTCCATTCAAGGTCTCACGCACACCGTAGTAAAAACAAAAGCAATGTTGAGGCCTTACCTGTATGTAGACGAATGTGAACTTTCAGACTCCCTGAGGTGGAAAAGCATTTCATACAAAACTGGCACTTGAAAGCTTTAATGCCAGTGTGTGTTTTTATGTGTGCTGTGAGAGTACTCTTCACGGCAAAAGCGCGGAAGCACTGGGGACACTTGAATGGCTTCTCATGGGTATGAATGCGAATGTGGCGCACCAGATCACTTGGTTTTTTAAATTCTTTAGAGCAATACGGACAAACGTGCCACCTTATTCCATTTTCTTCACGTATAGAACCTAAAATAAGGAACATCCAAATTAATATGTTTTAAACATTTTAACAGTTCTTCAAAAATTACACTCTACTGGTACCATTATGCAAAGTAATCAAAGCCCAAAACCACTCTGCGAAACAGATGCCATTACAACACACTTTGTAGCCAGTTAACTTCTCTATCAGATACAGTCTACTTCACAAAAATAGTGATAGGCTGGAATGACAAAAACAAAGCCCAAGAGAATCCTGTTGAAATTCAAACATTATGCTACTGAAAAGGAAAAAGGTTAAAAAACAATAGAAAGTCTGACTTCACAGAAAAGACAGAATGCAATTTGTGCGTCACTTAGGAATAAGGAATGTAGCTGTGACGCAATATAAGTTACCTTAAAAATACCGTATCTCATAAAATTATCCAACAATGAGTGTAACTCCACAACCATAACCACACCAAATTAAGTACTAAACACTTATCTAACAAACTGGAGGAGACACTTTAGATGGCCCTCACTTCTGCAAATTCAGACTTAAAAACATGTCATAAATTTTTAAAGGAGCAAAAATTGTGTAAAAAGTCCTTCTCAAAGATTGACAATTTAAGGCTACACTTTCACAAAAGCTATTTTATGATCCAAGAACCCTAAGCTCTGTCCTAAAGCAACAGCAGTACATTTCTCAACAAAAACTACAAAAGAATATTCTAAACCCTGCCAGGGATTTTTATTCATATATGTTATTCAATATCAAATATTCATTCATTTAAAGCTGTTCGCATAGCGTTTTTCACTGTAAACTATGCCAATACACTGGGGTTATGTTATTTTATCAAAAAATAAAGGCAGTTGAGTTTGACTGTACAGCTGTGACCTTTTATTTTTATTTGTATTCAGAGTCAGAGAGTTGTTACTGTTACAAAGAAGGAACAAAATAGTTGTTATTACCAGAGGGAAAAGTTAATGTTGATTTTTAGCACAGTTATGCTGGAAAAGATGAGTTTTCAACTTTGAATTGACTTCTGCATGCTTTGCAAAGAAAAAAGGCAACATCAGTGTATTTATAAAGATTCTACAGAGCGAGCTCAATGACTGTTCGTTACAGCACGGTCTCCACCAGGCCAACCACTGAAGTATGATGGCTACACTTGGAACAAACCCCACCTTAAAGCTTGAGCTTTAACACTTCAGTTGCATTTAGGCTCACAGAGACAAAATCCAGGCTTGCATATACACAACAGAGTATGGAGGTGGAATGTTAACATATATTAACATTAACTCCTCTGATCTAAACCCAGAAGATTAAAGTGAAAGATGATTTCACTTAATGCCATTCTCACATGTTTTGTATCCATATAATGAAAGTTGTAAACGCTACTTATCGTAACATATATGCATATTGTGTTTCAGATAGGAGTAAATTGATCCACAATACATTTTTTTAATGCCTTTATAAAGCCACCGAGACACCCACAAACAGTGCAGCCCTTACAGCACAAAAAGTAGCAAGCAGTGGCAACATTACCAGGTAAAAATGGTGATTTTTTCTTAATAACTTTCTTTTCTTTTTTATCCAGTTTATCTGTACTCTCTTGCTCCTTATCTTGTTCTGCACTATTAGAGTCAGCCTGATGATTTGCGAGAGCCTGAACATCTGGGTTCTGATCCGGGACCCCGGAAGTCTTAGCCTGGCTGCAGTCAGTAGAATGCGCAGCGACGGGAATTGAAGACAGCCCACTGTTCTCCAAAGCTTGCTAAAAGAGAACAAAAAACTTCTGCATGAAGAAACAAGCATTCCACAGTTGACTCAATTTTTCTTAAACAGCAACTTAGAAGATGTAACGCAAACACAACTAAAGAAATTAAATATGCCTCACCCCCCCCGAACTTCAGCCAGATTTCAAGTGTGCAAAAACATTCTTACACAACACTGACTTCTGACCGTCTGCGAGATTTTTAAGTTGGATTTCCTGCACTAATACATCTGTCAACAGCTGCCTTTCAGAAAAGCGCCAATTGTTTCTACAGAATCAAGCATTTCCCAGGAATAAATAGCCATCTATTATGCCTATTACATGATGAGAACAGTTCCCCATAAAAGGTCAAATTTGATCTACGCACACATTTTTTATGTACACCTAGGAGGGACTGGAGTGTACGATAACTTTACAGATACTATTGCGTCTGAAAAGGCTCTGGATTTAAAAAAAAAAACCAAACCTCAAACACATTTCAATAGGAGCGTGCAGATATTCAATTGCTTGGGAGAAAACTACATTTTGTACATGTAACAATATGATTAATGATTAAATGCTCGGACAATAACTTAAAAAAACAACCTCAAGGGCAATTTTCTTTTTTTTTTTTAACAGTTACCAAGATAATAGTTATATTTCATGCTGTAACTTGCTGCCACTACACATCACTTTCCAGACATTAGCAAACGAAGCACAGGTAACATGGTGAACCTGCGCATAGCTACACACAACATTCTGGTCTTCCAAAGAGAAATTTAAATGGCACTTAAAAGACTATATGAGATGAAAAAATAGGTTAAGGGTTAGCAGGCTACCACCAGTACTGAAGAAGAATATACTCTGCCCTGTTCCATTCTGTTTGCTCCTTATAGATAGTTGAATTACTGCCCTGCATCTCTTCTGTTACACAGCATCTCCTACTGCCAGTATGAAACACAGAATAATGGGTTAGAAAAAACACTGGGCAACCCAGGAAGAAATTTTCTTGAGCAAATAGGAAATATTCAAACACCCCTCACTAATTAGAACAGCATAAAGGCGTCATATACATTCTCACTGATGAACCAGATAAAAATATTTTCCCCTTTTAAATGTCATGATGTTTTAAGCACAGAATAACTTAAGGACATGCCACAAGCTGCTTCTAGGCAACAGGGGAAGAAAGCGCCAAAGGGACCAATAAAACGTCTGTGTTTGGGTGTGAACGCTGAATGCTTTCTTCTAGGTCATATAATCAATATCTGTAACTTTGCTTTTGCAGTATTATACAAAAAGATAACTTGGTGCGTTCCATACCTGTTCTGCAAATGTTTACAATTCTTTCTTGACTGATAACTGCAGAAGGAATGTTATCATTGAAACTACTGAGAACAAATTTCACTAAAATAAAAACAATGAGAGAAACCACTGAAATGTAAAGCTGTTCTCACACAGAACTCTTACCTGCAAAATATCTCTGTTGATTCCCACTGCAATGTTGAGTTGCTGACCAGGTTGTTGAGGTTGGTTATTTTCTACAGGACTTGGTTCTGATAACTCAAGGAGCTGCTGGATGACGTCAGTTACAGCCTGCTGACCCTGATGGGCAGCAGCGGCAGACACCTGGTTTTCTGTCTGTTGAAGAAGCGGAGACCGAAAATGTGTGGCCTGAAATAAACAGCAGTACCTTTGTAAGTGAAGATGAAAATTATCTGAAATGTCTGTTAAATGTACACTAGAAGGATGGCTGCTTGTGTAAGATGTAAGGATTATACACAGCTGTTATTCAAGGACTGCTCACTCCAGTAAAGAATTGCTTCTGTAGACCCCTTTTCTGGATTTCTTCCCAAGGGGTGTAACTGTAAGCTTACAGTTTGAATTAAGTTTATCCTAACTACTGAGCCTTCAACAGTTTGCAAAACACAGGGTTCAGTTACTGAATTCCACACGTAGAGGCCGCATGAAAAGTAGTTCCAAAAGAAATAATCAAGACTGACCTGGTTGTCTTTTTAGAGTTCACATTTAACTAAAACAAGCCCTCTGGAAAAATAACCTTCTATTAGCAGCTTTTTTTTATTTGTATTAAATTATTTGTGTTGTTACATCAAAACCTTTCAGAACAATCAAACTACTAACTTTTTCCCTTCAACTTTCAATCTTCTAAATCTCTTAGCTTTACAACTTTCAATCTCCTAAATCTCTTAGATTTATAAGAGATTTAGACTCAAAAAATGTAAATACACATGGAGCTCTGTCAAAATACTAAAAAAATCTTTAAGTCTAAAAATCAAATTGCTTAATGTTTGACTTGGTAATTGTGCCTTAGGCTACCCTATTAAGAAATATGAAGAAAAAAAGTGATAAAAAGTCTTGGTACTTCTTTCTAAAATGAGAAATAAAGACTCCTCCTGTTCTCCTCCATTTACAAATTTCTCTTCCTTAGAACATAAGTATAGCATTATTGAAACAATTGCTTTTAATCATTTATTTTTATGGCAAAAAAGAAAAATATATATTTATATAATGGCTAGCCCCATAATTTTGTCTCTCAGAACACTCTGGATATTCGCTTCAACTATTTACTTGTGTTCGCTAAAAATAATCACTTCCAGGCACACGTGCGCACGCACACATATACATAAAATGCTCTGGTCTTCCAGATTATTTTAAACAAAGAATAATCCCAAACTTCACCTGTGTAATAGTTCTTCCAACCTGAAAACTCCTGTGAGATCTTCTTTATACTGACTCATTACACTGGGCAGTTAAATGACACTCTCATGATATTCAGGGATGAGAAGGATAAGAAAAATTAGCTTGACTCACGTTACGTCCCGTGAATTTGGTGAAGTAATGCTTTCTCACGAGAGGACAAACCCTTATCTCATTTGTCTTGCATGTTTGTGAGAAGAGCGCTTGCTACTTTGCTAGTTTTCACCTCACCAGTGTTACAGATGGGAAGACTCCATCTCTTCAGATTCCAATTTAGCAAAAGTGCTATGAACATTTCAAGATGTATTTTACGAAATGAAACACACTACATGCCATTTTCATTGCGATAAAGAGGAACTGAAGCAAAACGTTTTGTTTAAGAGCTTAACAGCTCCCTATAGAGACCGTTCATTTCCTTGAAACGGAATGCAGGGAAAGCCTTTAGCAGAGCGGGAAGTCTACACTGAAAGCCCATAAAATTCTCCCAGGCTTCAGCAAGAGAAAATAATTGTTAATGAAGGAACTGCTCAACATAATCTTTGACATGAAAACTACAGCATGACATGCATTCGGCCAGCATGTTCACGTATCATACAGCAGTTTGTATACAGTCTCATGGAGGTTTTTTGAAGAGTAATACACACATGCACGTATATAAAGTTTATTACCATTATTATTAGGATGCCCAGTTCATTATAAAAAGTGTCACTTCAATACCTGATTTTAAAAATAGCATAGAGAAGAAAGCATTTTATTAATGCTTCATAATTCCGCATTTGATCAATTAGAATAGTGGATCTTCTGATCATCCTCGGTGTGTCTGATCTGCTGTGTAACACAGACCGTGTGACTGCTCTGAGTGAATTACTCCTTCAAGTAACTGTATAGAACTCAAAGCAGCTCTTTAAATCAAGTAATTTATTGTGGTAACTTTTTCTGTTGCTATCCAGCTTCACTAAGTTGCTCCAACTGTACATTATCCACATTAGAATTCCAGAATTCATCTCAAAGTGTGAATCTATCTAGCTTCAACCCTCAAAACATTTTTTTTTTCCCCTTCTGTATTTAGAGAGATTACGGAGTTTATCCTTTTATTCAAAACAGCAGATCAAGTCATCCTTAAATATTTTACTTGATGGGCAAAACAGATAATGCACCTTGAATCTCTTCAATAAAACACATCATATCATGCTTAAAGAATTCTGATGGCTCTGACTCGTCCTGTATCTTTGAATACAGTTCACGAATAGCAATCACAATAAAGAGACAACCCACAAAAGCAAAAATTGCCAGAATGAAATACAGAGCACATACAAACTTTCCATTTCTTACCTAAATAAAAGGACCAAAACGAATCTTTCCAGTCAAGGAAAACCTAACTTTTAGCTGATACATCAATTGTTACCTCTTCCATCCCTATTATAGGGGGAATTTTAAAACCTTGAAAACTCCTATCCTGTGAACATAGCCTACTTTTCCTGTTCTTCTTCTATAAGTGATTTTTGTCTTGGCTGCATCAGAACACTTTGCTTGTTGCGTCCAGATCACCAAGAAATACAGATCACTGTATCAGTGACTTGCACTTCACCTCAGTCTTTGTATCATCCTTGTCAGTGATGATTCTACATTTTCTTGTAGGTCACTGATAAAATATTAAGCAGCATAGGGTGAAGAATGAATTTCCAAGGGACCCCATCAGAAACACAACAATGGCAATTCCCTGCACATCTCTTTCACGAGTTCTCTCAGAAAGTTTTAAAAATCATGGTGCCTCATATTTATTTTAGTAGATCATTCTATTTGAAAGTACAAAACATATCCCTGTTTTTTATCACCTCCATTATAAGAAGGAAAATGAAGAATTATTAAGGATGCAACTAGCCCTAATTACCAAAACGCAAATACTAAAAAGTACCTATACATTTTCTTAAATCCAGGCGTGATACACGGTGCCGTCCCACGGAGGAATGGGAGCATACCTCCTATTTCAACAAATGAACAGCAACTGCACATGAAAAGCAGGCTGTGCATCTGAAAGCACGGACACGAGCAGACAGTACATCAAAGGAGGAATATCTGGGAACGTGTAACAAAATTGCTGCTGATTCACCTTAGCATTGAAGTCTGTCTGCATTAGTTCTGAGGTGATGCCACATGTTCCTTTTCCACAAGATTCCCAGGTATGTTACAGTATCTAGTTACTACTGTAAAAACAGAAGATACACCAGAAAGCAGAAGGAGAACTCAGGCTTCTGCTCCCAGGCAATGGGATCCATTGCTCCCAAATGGCACCCCTCACTAGGGAACAACCTGGCACTCTGCATCAAGTACAGGGAACCACACAGTGTGACCCCTGACACCGGAGCCTAATCTCAATATTCTGATACAATGAAGAAAGACAAATCTCTTTTTTCAATCTCTTGGAAAAAAAAAAAAAGGTAAATCATGAGTACCTCTCCGGAACTTAATTTGCTGGAGAACTTTTGCATATAAACCACCCTACATGAAACAAAGCCAATCTATCTGGGGGAGGGGGCACGTGAAGAGATGGGGGAACAGTATGCAAGACCTGAAAGTTAATTTTTTTTCTTTAAGAGATCAATGCGAATTGGCAGGCTACATTCTAAGCAAGATTCCTCCTTCCTTTCTAGAACATAAATCTGGCACAACTATATGCAGACTGTAATTTTATAAAACCTCATTATTTAGTTATATGTTTAATCCAGTATATGTTCAATAAAGACTATCCTAAATTGATGATTATCTTCTTTTCAGACCTGTGCTTTCACACACACACACTCCCTACTCCCAAAAACCAGGCATAATTTCCACTGCACTCTTTACCAAGGAAAATACATTCAACTGGTTAAAAAACCCCACAATTACTTAAACTGTTTTTGAAAAACAGCCATTTTTAATACTTTTTAAAATCTTAAAAGAAACATAGTATAATTATTTACTTAACACAGCAAATATTAGTAATCAATTAGTTCACATCAGTTCTGTCCAGCTCTAAGTTAACTGGCCCTGGAACAATGAATTCACAGTAAAAGATAAAAAGAAAGTGGACAGACTGTTTATGGTGACTTTAAAGCAATACTGCCACATTTCCTAGCCCTTGGTTTTGTGGATTCTAGCACATGAGAAGATAATCAGTGGCTGAAGTCTGGACAGATGGAATGTAAGTCATTAAAATACCATGCTGCAACCTACAGCTGATAAACAACATGCTACATAGCTGCAACAAAACATGCTACCACTCTCACTGTGACTGGCACATAAAACCCTGCCTGCACACCAAGACTGCTCACTATGGGGTTCCAGAAAGCCAGTCCTGCATCATCTTTCCCCAGCTCCACGGGCTCCTCCCAAGCCCCACAGTTCCACTGCTGCCTCAATTCCAACCAGTTCAGCCAGCATGAGCACAGCTCCTTCCCTCTCCACCCAAACCATGGTATCCCTGTGAAGTAAAGTCATGGGGCAGGATAATCTGATACTTATGAGAGTCCCCACTCTCCTCTGGCCTTTTTATGAAGGAGAATATATGTTTCTGTTCTGAACACCTCATGAACTGAATTATGTGCAAACTCAGGATTGAATCGTGAATGAGGGAATATAATCCATTCAAGACCTGTTCCATTCCTAAATAACCAGCTGCATTCTCCAACAAGTCTGCCTTCATGCATTAACCGACCAACTTCTCACACAGGACCACTGTGTATCCTTTTTCACCAGTTAGATGAAAGCTTACAAAATTCTGTTAAGTCTCTTTCGCTTTTAGTCTTGACACGAAAATACGATAAAACCTCTACACTTACATTCTTCCATTTGTTATCAACAGGTTGCAGAAGATTAGCAGGGGATGTTGTTAAAGGTTGGGTGACGGAGTCCTACAAAGAAATAAAGTATTTTAAGCCTTTGTACAAAAAGCAGAAAAGCATGGCTAATGCAATGCATAGAAGTAGCAAAGTTCGTTTTCCCACAGTATGGAGACTAGGGACAATAAAAAAAGAGGCTATGGGACAGGTACAGAAGTACTTAAACCAGTACCTTAGCTCTAAGCACAGGGGTAGCAAAAGACAAACAGCTGCCTTCCAATAAGCGTATTTTACAAGAGTACTCCTGTATCACACAAGAATGCATTCTTCTGTAGCACAGCAACTCAGACGACTTCGACTTCGGGAACGTGTATATTAAGGACATAATCACTGTTCACCCCCAAATACTAAACGAAGGATGACAGCAGCTGATAGTAAACTTCCGAACAGGAGAACTCTTCTACTGGAGATTTGTCATCAAAGAAGTTGTGAGCAGAATGAAGTCGTCTGTGGTAATCCAAGAATGCTAGTGCTAACCTAAGAATGCATCATCTTTCTACAGCAATAAGAATCAATCAATCATTAAATCTCTGAAGTTTCAGATATAAAGCTTAAAACTCTCCTAATAAGCAACCGACATGTCAGTTGTTATTTTTTGGTCTTCCTTGTTAAAATTCTTGGCATCTCTTTTTAGAAAGAAAAATTTTTCTCCCATTTTGCTTATACAACTGTAAGGAGGTGTCCTTCATTTTTCCCCTCCTCCATGCAAGCTACAGAAGTATGTAGGCAGCAAAGATAACAAACAACACGCTTCTGTAACATCAGCATGCAATGCAAATGCAAAATACTCAGGCAAACCCAAACAAGAAAAATGTACTGATACATTAAAAATGCACAAAAAAATAAAATAGTCTTATGAAACCAGAAGCACTATTTGAAATTTAGCCGCTTCTATGTTGGTAAAGAGAAAGAAAACACCAACATTCAGTGTTTCCAATAAAGCTAAGACTTTTTTTCTTTATGATCTGTCAAACAAGAAACTAATGTTTAAAACAAGTTATCAGAAATACTCAGAAGAATCCACTATGTCTTTGTATGGATTAGAACTATATAAACAATTTCTGAAAATGAGTTAAAACCCTAATACGTAATTTGAACAGTTCTAGATTTCCTTCTTCCAGCAAAACTCCACAACTATTTTTGTTATCTGAGGAGGAAACCTTTCCTCCACATACAAGCTGTAAGCACCAGAATTGTATTTTACCTAGTTGTAGAATAAACTGTTGTATTTTCATCTAAACCCTCAACTTGTAAATCCTTTGCTGCATATACCTGGCCAACTTACATTCTGCCAATATTTAGTAACGCAAGTCAATGCCAAAAATGACAAAAAAATATAGAAGAAAAAACACACTTACAGGTCTTCTAGTTCTATCTGAAGAATCACTGGAATTAAGATGCAGATCTAGTTAAACTCTTAAAGGCATTTTCACCATATGCCAAGCCCAGCTTACCGCTGTAACGTGAGATACATCTGCTGAAGAGCTTGCAGTATTCTGCGGACCACCCATGTGCATCTTGCTGATATGTGTATTTAAACTACCCAAGCATTTGAAGACACAGCTACATTCTGTACAGTTGTAAGTAGGGCCATTCTTTACCTTCAATAAAGCAAACAAACAAAAATTACATACATTTTCCCTAAATCTACCAAATATTATCTTTTTTCATAGTTATCCACATAATAAATATACTGAGAGCTAAAATGGTTTATTTTTCCAAGTTACTGAAATCCACTTATGGAATCAGTCTGGTATCACTCGAGTATCAAGTCAACTGTAATCTACGTACATGACTGTCATCTCCTATTACCACTTCTCAAAGCTGGGAAGCACCAGAGAGCAAACCAAATGCCATCTGGCAGATGAGGCCTCAGACTTTTCCATCTTTACAATTTCCTACCATTACACATTTAGAAACAAAACTCAAAATGCAACTTTATCAATTCTGACGCGCCCGAAGGTGTAACATCATACATACATTGCAGTCTTCCAGTACCTGAAGGGGCCTACAAGGAAGCTGGGAGGGGACTTTTTACACGGGCCTGTAGTGACAGGACAAGGGGTAACAGGTTTAAATTGAAAGCGGGGAAACTTAGATTGGATATCAGGAAGAAATTCTTCACAGAGAGGGTGGTGAGGCACTGGAACAGGTTGCCCAGAGCAGCTGTGGATGCCCCATCCCTGGAAGTGTTCAAGGCCAGGCTGGATGAGGCTTTGAGCAACCTGGTCTAGTGGAAGGTGTCCCTGCCCATGGCAGGGGGGTGGGAACTAGATGGTCTTTGAGGTCCCTTCCAACCCAACCCGTTCTATGATTCTATGATAATAAAAAGTTAGGAGATTTGGAAATATGAAGAGGAAAAAAAGGCATATAATTTATCTTCAAATTTTGGCTCTCTTCTGTTTACTTTTGCAAACTTATCTTTTATAAACTTCCAAGAAAATATGAAGTCCATTTTTCAGGCAAAAGTAGAATGAAGGCAACATAGATTGGGCCAAAGTCCACAGGGACTTCATGGGGGAAATAAATTTAAAAAACCCCACCCAAACCAACACTGCCACAAAACACCACCAAAAAAATAAGGGGGTGAAGAGCAGGGAAGTTTAATATATAGTGTGAACTGAATTTGAACACGCAGGATGAAGAAGAGATCAGAGCCACTTGGTTGGGGCTTTCAGGCCAAGGATTTGAGGTAATTACAGCAGCTAAATTTGCAGATTCCAGCCATTCTCACTTCCCTCTCCACCTCAATCTATCACAGAGCAGTAAGATCCAATGCAGTACTTTCAATACGCAGGAAACAAAGTCTTCAACAGCAAACATGCTACACTCTTTGCAATATAGTACGGAACTTTCTATTTTCCGACATTAAACTGGTAACAAGCCTTTCAGAAAGGGGTATCAACAAATAAAATACAGGTATGACTAAACAGTGATCTAAAAAGTGAGAATCAACCTGTTTTTTTATCACCTGTAACATTGTTTTGAGACTGTGTAAGGATAAAATGAAGAATCAGTAGAGTTCTGCATGCAGTCTTAAAGTAAAACACAGTGACAGCAAGAAAGGAAAAAAACCAGCATGTGATCCAAAGCAGTACCTGAAATGTAGGCTCAGGATCACAAAACACAACATAAGATGTGATCAAGAGGCAGCATTTATTTAAAATGCTTTATCTCACAATATTGGGATGGGTTTTTTCCTTAGAGAAAAACAGAGTAACAGAGATAAAAGTGAAAAATATTTTTCACTTGATCCCCAACAATCTTGTAATATTGAAAATAGAATCAATGTAAACTATGAAATGAATGTTGGTGCATTTTTTAATGTAGCAAAAGCTATCACATATAGGGAGCTGTGAACAGTGAGAAAGACCAGTCACACAAAGCTGTATGAAATGTAAACATGATTTAATATAATTAAGTGTAACACAAAACACTAATACATATTCTATGAAGGACCATATCCTAAAACTAAGAAACTCCTAACATACTAAAAGGATCCTTAGTAAAAAGTACAATAAATAAGATATATCACTGTAACACAAAAATGGAGAACAAGAAAGCAATTCTTGGAGTTAGGGGAAAGAATGAAAGCAAAAGTATAGTCTGCATGCAGGGGAAAAAAAAAAAAAAAAGCTGCCTCTACCACTTTATACCTTCCAAATCAAAACCAGGTCTCTTTCTATAGATATCTGCAACCACAAATCACTAAAGTCAGCAAAGAAATTACTGAACTAAGTTGCATAGCCAATGTAGCTCAGAAGATTCTGCATTATCATACAGCAGTACCTTTGGAATCTTAAAAATTGTCTGTCACAAAGAAGAAAAAAAAAATCACCTAAAGAGGTCTGAGACAATGTTTATCTTATAATTTTTTTCTACCTATAACTGAAAAACCTCCAAAAAAGGCTGCAAGATATATACTTCAAAGACAAACTGCAAGTATGCTCTACGATGAAGTTAGTTGGCTGCTGGGTGGCCTTGAAATCTCTCACCATCTTCTGCTTTGCTGCTTTTGGCTTACTTTCACCTTATTCTAGCCCTTGTTCTCCCAAGGCTGACACAGGTGTATTTTCATACACTTCAACCCACTAATAATTTATTCATCTATCAATGCACTGAAAAGACAACGGTAAAGGAAGGTTTTGCTAATTATCCTAAGCATACTTTTGTTGAGATTAAGGTATTTTAGGAAAGCTGAATTTGCAGGTAAACCCAACAAACTAGAATCTACACCACAGCAGTAAATCTATACTGACTGCAGTAAGCACCAGAGAGCATAGGAATAGGCAAACACGATTGAAAATGAAATAAGCAGTATATTAGCACCAACCACTTTATGAATAATTATATTTACCTCTGAATGAACTCTCTGAATGTGTGACTGAAGATTGCCTTTCTGAGAAAAGGCTGCAGGACAAAAGGCACAAGCATGGGGTTTTTCACCAGTGTGCTTGATCATATGGGTCTGCAATGCCCCCTTCTGGTTAAAGGCTTTCCCGCATTCACTGCATTTGAAAGGTCTTTCACCTGAAAGGAAAAAGGAGGATGACGTTGGTAAGGGGCTTTGAATAAACGTTGGCAGTTTCCTGGATCTAAATGAAAAATGGTGTCAGCTGAACCAAAGTACTGCATATAGATATCTGTACATGCACACACAACACAGAAACATAACGTTATTCGGTGTTTCGACAATGAATTGTTTACCTTGACCACCAATCTCTGCACCTACTCTGATGATGACGAAGGTCCATGAAAAACTTTTATGACCCAGCTGATGGTTACCAGTTAAAATGGGTAGGATAAATAAAACCTGTATGAAACAATTATTTAGAACAGCTACCCTCAGCTTGTGATTTGGAAGATCTCACAAGTTTCTATGCAAAACCACCAGAGGAAAAGGGGAAAAGAAAATCCAAAACCACATACACCATTATTTTACACCAAGTCCTATAAAATGTATATACCTGCATGGAAACAAAAGGGGGTGCCGAGGATGGAATGGACAGTAATAAGGAATTAACAGTCAAAAATTTAATCTTTTACTTAGCCTAAAATCAAAAAGTCTTACAGCAAAACTGCAGAAGATGGCCTATGGTTCCCACTCCCCAATAAATATTAACAGCCATTCATTCTTCACAACCACCTATTGAGAAGGTGCAATAAAATAATGTTTCTATTATATGAGACGTTGTACAGCCCTGCTCAGAAAATAATTTTAAAGCCTTGACTGTTCATATTACTACTGAACATTAAGGAAAAACTAGGCAATACTCTTACAGAAATGCTCTGTCACTGTTTCCTGTGTTTGGTGTTCTCAGTGCAGTGCATGCTTACAATTTTTTGTACACTAACACATAAAGCATGAGAAACTCCCCAGAAATTGTAACTGCATGACCTTATTACAAAGCTACATATTTTAAACACACAGATACTAAGACAGCAAGAACAAGGTTTGGTTTCTTACAACTGTGTGTCTTAATCGAGTACTGGAAATCGCCACTGTGAACTCAGTATTCCTCTTTTTTTCCTGTTAGTGGAACAGTTTAACTCTGGTAACTCCAGGGCCTTGAAAACATTCAATACTTTGTCTTTGCACATTTCTGTAACAAAAATACTACAAGCAGGCTGCACAAAATGCTGCTACACCACTAAGTACAAGCATGTGCTAAATATTATGCACACTAAAGCAGTTTTAATGAATATTTTTATATGACTTCTAATTATATAGCCGTAATTACATCTGGTTTAAAATGATTAATTCTTAATTAAATTCATATTGTTTAAAGTAAAAGCAGCTATTTTCTAAAACAGATTACAAGCATAACTTACGTAGTATTGACTCTGAAGGAATGTGTATTTTCTGTTCTGCTGCTTATGGCTTTTGAAGCTGTTTTGAGGCCTGCAGGTTTTAACTGTGTACTTTTTTAATACAGATCACAATACAGAACACTGATTCAGATCATCTTCAAACTCAGTGAGAATTCGTATTGGGCTTTCTTAGTTTTGTAAAATGCTTAGCTTCCACTACTAGCTGCTGGTAGACATACAGAAGTATTGCTTCAGGTTAAATTTGCAGATTTAAGTAAACTTCATTGCAAAAACTAAATTTTAATTCTAGTGTGGAAATGCAGAATTTCTGTATTTCTCAGGTATAACTTAATAAAATACGGATTTGGGAGGTTCATTATTTAGTTATTAATATGGGAATTGCAATCCCTGAGACTGTTTTTTTCCCCAAAGGGTTTAAGTGCTTGAAATTAATAGCTATGAACAAAAAAAAGTATTGCAAGAATGCTCTACATGTAGCACAGACGTGCTCTTTAAAAGATTTAAGTATTCTATATTCTTTAAAGCCAAATTCTTCTACATATTTTACAGTACCTCACGCAATTCAATGCCAGACAGATCGTCTACAGATTTAAAGTAACAACATACTTCAAATTAAGGATTCACTAGCTACTTAGAACTTAAAATGACCTACTGTCATGTGCAGGTTGGGATTACAATTTCAGCCTTTGGTTTCCTAATAGACAAATGTCTTCTTGCTCTTCAAGAACTACAAATACTCTTGAACTTTTTGAATCTTTAGAAAAGTGTCCTCAACCAACTATAATCTTGTTTCTTTAATTCTAACTACAATTAGCTAAAATATCATAACTAACAGATACAAAACTCTAAAATAACAAAGTTAATTTTCAATTACTTTTTTTGGATATTACTTTGAGGTAACTTTTAAAGCAGGTTACAAGGGTGACCTCTTGTGTTACTGTTTTACAACTCAATTAAAAGCTTAAAAAAATTCCTAAGAAATAATAGTCATGCAAGGAAATATTTATTTCTCCCATGGCAAAAAACGTCACTCTTGTACACGGCAGCTCATCACATCACTGTCTGAACAGCCTGGTAATACAAACAACATTGCATGCTTACCTAATTTACTACTTTAATTAGCTAAAAACTAGACAAACAGCAATTTATTCACAAGATGGAAAGTACATATATATTGCACATCACAAGAGCACCTTCAACTAAAGCCTTGTTTAAAGTCAAACTTAGGCTATGTTATGTGTGTTTGATTAAAACTTGGGAACAATTCTTACAGTCCTCTCTACACTTCAAAAGCTTTTGTATAATTTTATACTTTGCGTTTTTCAGTTATTTCAATTGCTTAAGAGTTAAACAAATGTACATTTATTACAGTAATTTTGCAAAACACATCTGCTTTTAATGCTGCAAAACGCAACAGTCACCTGCTCTTCTTCAAGTATCAAAATTACCATCAAGGCTTATCACCTCCCAAGTTCACTTTGAACATCCTGAAAATGGCAGTCACAGTTAAGTACAGAAAATATATGGCAGCAACTCTAAAAAAAAAAAAATCAATCTAAAAACCAAAGCAAGACCAGTATGTTAGTAGTATTATTCATTCTCATTTATTTCTACTCTTTGTACGATTGTAAATTTTAGAACCTGTTCTCTAGAGTATGTAAAATCTTATTTAGAATACCTGACTGCCCTTATCTAGTTATTCCAGTTTTAGGGCCCATTGAAGCTTTAAGTACCAAAGCTGGTATTTTATAACAAATGAAACCCGTGAAGTACTTAAAGTTTCCAGATGTATATCATTAGGAACAGTTTAAAAGATTTTTAAAAGCATATAAATTTCCCAAGCAAAGCAATTACATAAAGGGTGTTTTAAACCAACAGGTAACTGCACTTATGAGCTGGATCTATTAATACTATTTCAAGTCCCAACTGGGAGACAAATTTTCAGCATTTCACAGATTAATTGAACTTTCTAAAACAAATGAAAACTAAAATAATTACTTCCACAGTCTTACCTGTGTGTATCCTAACATGTCTTGTTAACTGACTTGGCTTCTGGAACGTTTTTCCACAGTGAGGACAGGAATAGGTAAACCCACTTCTGTCAATATTTCTGTTATAAGATCTGGTATTTGATACCCTGTAATTAAAAAAAAAAAAAAAGACACCAGGGAATTTAATTAAAATCCTCTTAAACCTAATATGAAACAAGAAAAAGCTTTTTTGAAGAAGCTGATTTTACCCCATCGTTTTTTAACATAATTTGATGACAATGTAGAGTATCAGCTACAACAGTTAAACCCCAAACTCTTTAATGATACTAAAAGAACAATGTAAATGTGCACTTTTCCAAGTGCCTACAAACACCAAAAATCTTAGTTATTTAGGTAATAAAACACATTTCTTAGAAGTTCTCTAGAGACATTTTCACTGTAAATTCTGCTAGAAGTATACAGTGACTTCACAACCACTCTTTTGGTGGGAGCTTTCAACTCTGTGCAACTTTCTTTTGCCTGAACACAGCAAGACTTTCGTTCTTAACCAGAAAAGGAAGGTCTCATAAACAAGAGCACAAATGCTGTTGCTGGTCTAACAAAAACAGGTTAAGAATTTAACAACCCAAATATCCACCACTGCTCCTCAAATACAAATCACGATCTCCAGAGACATGGTAACAGATGATATAAACTCCCATAATTCCTTTCTCTACAAATGAAGTTAATTAGTTTAAATGACTGCTGAAAAACAGCAACATGGAAAAGCAACTGATTTTATGCTGGGGGGGGGGGAATAAAACCTAGAGCGTATTAAAAGACCACTGCAACCACTTAGCTAAAAAAAGTGAAACCAGAAGGCAGTGTGGTATCTAGAGCACTCCACATTTCCATTAGTGCCCAAGTAATTACATCTATACAGCAATCCAGTTTGCCAGTACAGCTTAAAGTTAACTGAAATTACTCAAATTCAAATACCTCGTGTTTTTCTAACAACTGTGAAATACAGATTAGCTAATGTGGGGCAAATGTGCAAAATACACCCCTACCCTGAAACACAGGCTGATATAACAATAGAAAAAATAGCAGGGAAGTAACAGTTTTCTGTTTGCAAATGGAAATTTGCAACATATTTTTTCAAACATTTTGGAACACAACCATTTAAGGTCTCACAACCTGCATCACTGGCTAATAATTGGAAATACTCAGTGTTTCTCATTTATATGTATGTGTTTCCCATCTATTTGTCTAAAAACAGTGCACTGTTTTTTATAGGAAGAGAGTAAAGAGTAAAAGAGAGATCTTCCGTCAAAAACCTTAAGCTTTCATGATGCATAAACTAAACCAATAGAAGTAAGTTTTTCTTTCTTCTAACTCAAAGTCATTTTCACCTTACTAATGGTGAAGTTAAACTAGACAGCTGAAAGAAAGGACAGAACAAGTTTTCACCAGAAGTAAGAACAACATTTATGAGCCCTGGTTTTTCCGTTCCTTTTGTGCTTTTTCAGTTTTACAAGAAACTCACAGAAGGTTGTGGTGAGGACTACTTGCAAAAGATGATTAAACTGCAAAAAAAAACCACCTTACTTACCTGCAGAAAGCAAGTATTAGGATGTCTGAAATTGCAATAACTGCTTTGTAAAATTAATATGCATTTGCTTCAATATATTGCCCTGCTACGTAAAATTAACATATATTTGCTTCAATATACTGCTATTAGCCATTAAAATCACACAAACAAATTTGAAAAAGCATTCTGCACCAGAAGAACTTAACCTGTGCTACAAATAGCCAGCAGATGGAACTATGCTTAGTACAAGTGCTTAAACGCGAAAACAGAAAACCGCCAAAAATAACCATCTACTTTAGCATGGTTTTGGAAAATAAATTCCATTTCATAACAGCATACCCAAGAAAATAAGGGATCTGCATACTTTGCTGACTGAAAACGCTACCCTTTCTTTCTCCAGCTATCACCACAAAAGCAACATCTGCTCATTTTGTTACAATCCCATGATCGTCACCTTATTTTATAGTGAGTTTTCATATGCTCCTTTAGCTGTGAGGAAGTTTCAAATTCCTTTTTGCAAGACTTGCAGCTGTGGATCCTACTGCCTGCCAATTCTTGACGATGTTCTTCCATGTGTATGGACAGCTGACTCTGTAAAGTAAATTCATCTCCACACTCTGAACAGATAAGATTCTGAAAGAGATAATAGAGACTGATTTTTCAAAAGATTCCCAAACAGCGATACACAGGCACGAGCTTTGCTCAAATAGCTGAATGTATCCTTCAACCGACATCGGCAGCTGGAAGCAAGCAGCAACAAAAGTCTACCAGCAAAAAAAGTTTATAAGCCCCATAACAAAAATCATGAACAATAATCACTGCAAGGTTATTGTAATATTTACATTTTAAGAAACCCCACTGAAACTGAACTTTGAAAAATCCTGATACGGTAGCAGGAACAAGCAGTTCAGTACCATCATCACACCACTACTCCCTTGGTAGGCTATTTCAAGCTACACACAGAAACTCACCTCAGTGTCACCGTGCTATAGTCTACGTAAGCATTTGTAAAAAATACTACTTTCTAACCAAAAACACCTTAAGTTTTTTAATTCAGGATTTTTACACTTTCACTGGTTAAAATGATAGAGATTGTCATTGACTTTTTAACAGTAATCCCACCACAGTTACTACTGACTATTCTTCAGCTGTCTTCACAGAAAAGATGACAAAGAAATTGGGACGTATAATGGTTTTGACAGATACCACTTCAACCCATTAATTTTACAGCAGTGTTAAACATACCACTTTCCAGTTGTATTAGTATCCCATGTCATTTAGAATGGAAATTGTACAGTTTAACGCAAAAGCACTGCCCTTTCACTGAAATTCAGAGGAGGAATCAAAGTTAAATATTGTTTCAATGAAAACTCTGCATTTATTTGACTTCCTTTTGCTTTTCAAAACCATTAGTTTTATTTCTCAGCGTATCTTTATTTTACAAAATCTAATCAGAGTTAAGAATAAATATCCAAAAACATTCATCATCTCTTTGGCAATATATCTGTTACACATTCCTTACTGGTGTGAGTAAGGAACTTCAGTTTCAGTCCTGGTTCCTTTTTCAGTAACTGTAATTACCACTGCAAATGGAAATGGTTTTTTTTAATCGCCATTTTTTTTTTTGGCTCCTTGAATGATCAACAAGGGGAAAAAAAAAGTGTTCATTTAAACAAAGATATTGACATGAATGTTTTCATCAAGAGAAAGTAAGATATGTGGTGCTATTTTTACAATGCTTTGACAATATATTTGCTCACTAAGTCTGAAAAAAAACCCCAAAATTCTGCAATATAACCAGACAACATTTCCACAGGAGAACTTAAATATCTGAAATCCCATAATGAAATGAAGGAAGTAATTTTGGAGGTAGTAATCTAACCTAGAGATCATTATTTCTGGACTGAAGTTCCAGTGTGTGACAATAAATAAATTAATAAATAATGCTTTCTTTTCCAGGACCTACATTCAATTCTGAATGCTTCTTACTGAAAAATACGTTCTTATACAGCAAATATGGGTTCTGAAGAACATTTTGTACAAGTAGGGAAAAATCTCCTGAGGAGAAGCTTACAATATACATACTATATCAAGCTCACGGTCCCCAAAATTGAGAGTTTGGTCAATCGTTTCTCAGCATTTTTCAGACACGTTATCTATGACATTAAGTTGCTATTACATATATTATATTAAGCAACTTCCACAAACAAAAGAACAGCCTCACAAGTATCTGAGACAACGAAACTCTGTGTATTTCTATTCATTACTGTAGAATTTGCTTTAGGAAAGCTGTACAAAATAGAAAAATTGTACAAAACCCCAGCAATATATCAAGCCCAAAAGCTTCTCTCTGGAATAGGTTCTACCAGACTTGCATTTTTGCAAGCAAACAAAAGATCCCCCACCACACACACAGAACAAATTATGGCACATCATTAACCTCACTATGGTTAAACCCACCTTTTAACATTAAACAAAAGTGGCTGTTTGTATATCGCTAGATAATATTTAAAATTCCCTAACTCAATTAATTTTATAAAGCTGTACTCATCCGATTCCACCTCTATTAACTATTTTTATCTTATCAGATGCGATATCTGAAGCAACTCTTCGGCACTCACCATCTTCACCTGTTTAGTTACAATAACTGTAAAAGATTTTAATTGACACTTTTTCAAAGACATTGCCCCCAGATTATAAAACAAGACAAACCAAATATAGTGAGGATTATTTAAAAAACAAGTACAAATCCCCAGGATTTTTTAATAACGCAATCTTCACTTTATATCCACCAGATATCATTTTTAGCTTTTTCAACATATTAAGGCTTTCCTAAAGCCCAAGAAAACCTCATTCTCATGTAGAAAGAAGACATATTAGCAGTCTTAGTGCCACAGATGAAAAATTTTCAGTTTGTATTTAACAGCTACTGCCCTTGTCAAGACCCTCTGCTTCAAATTCAAATTCCAGCTCTCCTACAGGCACTGTGCACAACTGCTGGGAAAGTCATTCTTGCAAGTCTCCTTGAATTAATTGTTACATTCATCTCTGATCACAGAATTATAGCTCATTATAAGAATACATTCATTAGGAACTGAAAGGTGTTCATATTTTTATAAATGTAATTTTCAAGCTGCAGATCGGATTTTTAAATTGGAAGGCATCACACAACCTATTCTTCTGACATCTGCACCAAGTATCAAAATCAGAGTTACTGAAGTGGATGAAAAAATCACTTAGTGATAGAAATGAATACTAAATATCACTCTTAGGCATCTTTCTTGATGCTCAGCTTCCTTATTCTGATGCTTTCAGCAATTCATAAATCAAGTTTCCTTAATAAATGCCCATTAAGCTATGTGTCATTATAGATACATTAACATGCAGCAAAACTGTACTCAAGCCCTCTCGTTTTAACTCAGTTGTGTACATGATAAAATGTGAAGTGATAACAAGATTAAAGAGGGAATGCATTTTCTACAGATGACATTCTCTGCCTGGTTTAGGGAAAAATGCAACTAGGCCTATCATCCTAAACCTACAGGTCAAAACTGCTGTAAGCTGACTGCAGTTATGATTAGAAGTGAGGTGATAAAAGCGCATACTTGACTCAGCTGCAATTCTCCAACACAAAGCACAATTTTTAAAAAGCCTTCACAGGAGGAAGCAGCAATTACATGATTGAAAATTCAGTATTTTGGGCAGTGCAATCAACTCGGCAACTACAATAATGCAGTAATGACTGTGTTCAAAATAGTACTATACATTAACTCTTTGCTAAGAATTTAACCGATGCCTTATAAAAATGGTAAATGAAATTGTGAGAGCGAAAGGAACAAGAAGTTCTCTCACGCAAAATAGCCACTCAAAAAAAGGGGTGGGAGTTCTAGATAAGGGAACAGCTTCATGATGCAAGAAATAGATGGTGAGTGACTCACCATGACAACTGCCATCAAAAATTATCACAAAGACTATTACATGTGGGCCTATCAATGCACATGAAGTCACATAAATTAAAAGTATTTGAAAATAACTATTCAATTAGTAGAGACAGGATGGAACACTTCCTTATATCCAGTGTACTGATTTCTGCAACTATCATTAAAACAGACTCCCCACCAAAAGTCTGATACTTGTTCTGAACGAGACCATTTATTCAATCCTCCAACGTCAAGCATATAGGTAAGGGATTAAGTACAACCCTTACAACATGTCTTTTCAAAATTTAAATTATGAGGTTTAATGAATTACCTCTTCTTTCTCATGTAGCATTATATGAGCCTTCAGACTGGCTACTCTGGAGAACTTCTTGTTGCACACAGGACACGTAGGATCTTCACCATTGTGAGTACATTTATGAAGTGTCAAGTTGAATTCAACATTAAATGACATCGGACACTGGTCACATCGGTGAGGCTGTTAAAACCACAGAAATAAAATCAAAATTCAATCTTCCCATAAGTTACATATACCCTGACACATGTAACCATACACATCAAAATGTTTGAAATAAAAAAAGAGCAATTGAAATACCTACATATGATAATGATCCTAATAATACCAGTCTTAATTCTTTTCTCTTTGCCTCTCACTACAGAAAATGCAAATATAGCATTTCAAAAGCATATGGGGGAAAGAAGACAGGGGAACTAAAGAAAGCAGGCACTGTCTGAGGAGAGTGAAATTAGCAGGAGAGAAGAATGAGCAAGAGACAGAAATAAATTTTCCTACTGTAACTGAGATTGTGAACTCTCCTTAAAGCAAAATTAATGATCAAACCAAAGAGTTAAGTTTATACTAGGATTGACTGCTCTTCAGTTGGTATCTGCATAATCAATTTGCTTTCTTTAAGAGCACCTTTACTTCACACAAGTGTGCAACAGCATGGTTTTAACAGTACCAACTTCCATTTTTCGGTATCAACTTTACAACGTTGAAACTTGTGTAAGTAGTTCTTTGTATACATGAATTATCACCTCAGTCATACGTTTTGTAAAGATTAATCTGTACCTACAGCTACCTCAAACAGTATTAAAATTATTTTTCCATCACATGTAAAGTAGTTTCAGCTTTGTGAAAAAGAAAGCAAGGAATATTAATAAAATGCTCCAGATTACAGATGAAACCTGTAGCAAAAGCTTCATTTAAAAAGTCAGTCCAGTCAATCACATATCTGTATTTTTCTCATTCTTTCCCAAATTTGGTTTGTAAAGAGCTACAGCGACGACGTTAATCTACTAATACATACATACTAGATTACGTTGCTTGATACCACTGAAAACAGCTCTACGTTGCTTGATATCACTGAAAACAGCTCTAAGACACTAGCAGGGTCCAGTTAATCAATATGAGTGTCATTTTCTTTCTACTGCTGAAGTGTAGAATCAGTTTGCAAATTGGATTAAAAGAAACCCATATATTTTCTCATCTACCTGAATGTTTTACAAATCAAAGAAAATCTCTAAAATTGAAAGTTACTAAACTGAAAACATCAATCTAATTAAATGGCATCAAAGTAAGGTCTTGTCTCAAACAAAACATGAGGAACCATGAAAGAAGAAACTTCCTAAATCTCTGAGGTCACCAAGTAGTAATTATTAGTGATGGGATAAAAAAATATATATCTATATATATAAAAATATATATAAATATATATTTCCTGTGTTAGCTTTACTTGTCAGTATACGAAAATATCAATACCCAATGGTATTGTCTAAGTTTATATCTATTAAAATTCATACCTTGTCATTTTGCTCATGATCCCTCATGTGGCGCTGGAACTGGGTCTCTTTTGGGAAAGACAGCAAACAGATCTCACACTTACGGAAGTTAGGTACTTGGTAGGGAAAATTACTGTTCTCTGTATTTGGTGTCAGAACATCATCTACAAAACAAGTATCAAAACATTGGTACGAAGTCACATTTCACTGACATAATCTCTGCTTCAAAGAATGGAGGCTTTTACAGTAAACTATTCAAACTCCTGGAAGATTTTGACTTGCATACAAGATTCTAACTTCACTGGATATTGAAGATCTCAGGGCAAAACCATTACTGCTTCCATTGACGCTGGATCAAAGGAATATATCCATCCCCCTAACTGCCAGTCACTAAGGAGATAAATAATCACCTTTTCCTAGTATACTGAAATAAATTCTTTCTGTGCTTCATAAACATCCAGTGCTCCATCCAGTTTGCAATGAAATAAAATGTAGTCAAACACACTAGGTATGAATAAGATACTGTAAGGGGTTACTTTTAATAATATTACATCATGTGTTTCTAAAAAAAAAAAAACTCTTAGCATGACTTACTCAGCAGTTCTGAGTACACAGGTTTTCTGCCCTCCCCTACTCCTTTCTCTCTCTCTCTTTTCTTCTATGAGAAAAATTCAAATATCTTTTCTTTCTTCTACTTCTGGCAATGCAACACCTTTATTAGTCAGCTTTACAGCTGTAAAACCAACAACAGTGTTTCAAATAGCTAAGAGATGCAACAAACTGCATGTCAAACTCTGTACACATGCATGCAATGCAGAAAGATTTTTTTTTTTTATAGACCCAGCCTAGGCCCATACACTTTGCCTTCTTTTCAACTCCCAGAGTCACACAATTTTTGATATAAAAGTTGAAAGCTTCTACATCCTCTTGCTCAAATGGCTGAAACAGTTCTATTAATATTGTCCTTACGATCTTAAATTTCTATCCAAGTAAGTTAAACACATTTGACACTTGAGAAGATACTGTATTACTAAGGAATTATGCTTATTTAAAAAAAAAAAAGTTAAGAAAAGCAATTGGCAGGAGGAGTTAAAACTGGTGGGATTATTCACAGCAGTATTAATAAAACGACAATCAGTTAACTCGTGCTGCAGATTAAGGACACTAAAAAGAAAAAAAAAAAAAACCAAAACCAAACATAGAATTCAGTTTCAAACACTGCCACAATTCAACAAAGCGCATCAACAATAGAATGCAAAAGGACACAAAAAAAGGGAACAATGATTTTATCTAGACACACAAGGGCTGATGTTTCCCTTTAAGTCATATACATTGTAATGTAACAACACAACTACGTAACAACATAGGACGTAACAACACAACCAGAAGTTTACAGCATCCTGTTTACATTTCCTCTGAGAAAACCAAAGATAACGATTCATACAGTATTTCTGCTCAGTAATGCACCTACCCCAAAAGTCCTCTCTCATTCAATAGACGATTTATAAAATTAAAAAAAAAAAAAACCACCAGTACCTTATGTCCTGACCACCTTTTTTTCCCTGCTAAAATTCTCATAACATACCAATGACACCAAGCTGTGTGGCGCGGTCGACACGCTGGAGGGAAGGGATGCCATCCAGAGGGGCCTGGACAGGCTGGAGAGGTGGGCCACTGCCAACCTCATGGAGTTCAACAAGGCCAAGTGCAAGGTCCTGCACCTGGGTCGGGGCAATCCCAAGCACAAGTACAGGCTGGGTGGAGAGTGGACAGAGAGCAGCCCTAAGATGGACTCAGGGTTCTGGTGATTGAAAAGCTGGACATGAGCCAGCAGTGTGTGCTGGCAGCCCAGAAAGCCAACCGTATCCTGGGCTGTATGCAGAGAAGTGTGGCCAGCAGGCTGAGGGAAGTGATTCTACCCTTCTACAATGCTCTCAAGAGTAGAGTAGACAACACCTGGAGTGCTGCCTCCAGCTCTGGGGCTCCCAACGTAAGAAGGACATGGACCTGTCAAAGAAACTCCAGAGGATGCTCAGAGGGCTGGAGCACCTCCCCTATGGGGACAGGCTGAGAGAGTTGGGCTTGTTCAGCCTGGAGAAGAGAAGGCTCCAGGGAGACCTTATAGCACCTTCCAGTACCTGAAGGGGCTACAAGGAAGCTGGGGTGGCTTTTTACAAGGGCTTGTAGTGACAGGACAAGGGGGAATGGGTTTAAATTCAAAGTGGGGAGGTTTAGTTTAGATATCAGGAAGAAGTTCTTCCTGGAGAGGGTGGTGAGGCACTGGAACAGGTTGCCCAGAGCAGCTGTGGATGCCCCATCCCTGGAAGTGTTCAAGGCCAGGCTGGATGAGGCTTTGAGCAACCTGGTCTAGTGGAAGGTGTCCCTGCCCATGGCAGGGGGGGGGGGACTGGGTGATCTTTAAGGTCCCTTCCAACCCAAACCATTCTCCTATTCAATGATACAACTGACCAGAGTAAAGGGCATAAAATCAGTTGCTATAAATATTGGCATGACAAGAAACAGAGAAGTGAAAGAAAGATCTACCCCAATACTTGGACTATATGAAAACTTAATACAAGAACCTTTCCTCCCCCTACAAAAAGGAGTAATTGTTCAACCCCATGGAGGCCGGACCTCTCACTTTAAATTGCCAACTGAAGAATGATCCAATACATACATACTTCAGAAACACCTCTAAACATTCTCCATGAAGCAAAGTGATCATCATCTTTAAACATTCACTCTCAAGACGAAAGATACCAGGCAACATACAAAAACAATGCCTAAGCAAAAAAGTAGCAAAAGTGTAACTTTGAAATAATCAAAGGTGCTAACTTCTCTATAATTTGAAACACAGAAAAAGCAACATGCTCATTGGCATCTGAATAATATTACTGAATGACTTACTTTTTAGGTCAGTAACATTTCTATATAACATTTTTATTAAAATGTGTATCATATCTGTGTGAATGGCAATACTGATTAACCTACAGGCTAGGAATTTTCTTCTACAATTCAAAAAGGAGTTTAAGTTAACTATATTTCATGAAAAAGTAACTATTTTTGTAGTGTTTCAATGGAATTTGATAACTAAGTGTATGAAATCACACCACCTGATGCAGAAATATACAGGAAGAAAATATTTCAGTTGTTTAAAAAGAAGGAAGTGATCACCACTAAAATAGAGGCATAACAAAAGCATAATCTTAAAATATTTCATAGGAAAGAACAGAGAAACAGCCTAAACTCTGGCAAGCGAGCAGCTGAACACATCACACCCTGTATCGAAGCGTGAGGAATTTCTCAAGCCTAGTTCATTGATTATAAACCCTGAGCTACCTGCAAGCCTTTCCACCTTTCTAATGGCCCTCAGAGCCCAAGGGAGAAGAAATAGACAGTAAACATCCTGAGTGTTGCTCTTTCAAAGAAAACCTGTGTAACTCTTTGCAAAGCCAACTCTTAGGCTTTTTTTGGTCCTATCTTTCATATTACCAAAGAGCAAAAGACAGGCATTTGGGACTCGGGACTGGACCCTTGAATCAGCAACTGGGCTGTACAGTCCAGCTCAAAGACGACTGCTTGGCAGAGGACTCTTACTGCAGAAATGCTTCTGAAGGCCTTTAAGGGTAAGGCACAGCAAATCAATTTAGGTTAGATTCCAGAAAACTTTGAAGGCTCAACTATTGACGACCCTGCTGACTCAGTATGAACAGAAAACCAGTCCAGTTTAGATTAAAAAAAACCTCTGAAAGTGCAGTTATTTCACTTTCACCTCAAGGGCAGGACTGAGATCTAGCACAGATTAAAATTAAAACACAAATTCATTTATGCATTAACACCACATCTGAACTAGCTTAAGGGAAAGATGAGACTATGATAAACTTTTTTTCACTTTTATTCTCCCTAAAATACAATTTGGTCCTCTATTACCAGCCAAGTACTAGGTGATTCTGAGAGTCACCCAGCTCCCTTTTACTCAACATGCAGGAAGTGACTTTCTATTTTACCTTTCTAGCAGTAACAAGGAGAGTTTTCAGAATAATATCGCTACTATTATACTGTGTTTAGAACGGAGAAAACAGAAAACCAGAAAAGATACTGTCAATTTTAACAGTAACAAGCAAGTGAGCTAGATTTTGACTTTCCAGGCAGGTGTGTCAGACTCACAAGTATGACTTGGGTCTGTCTTCATTTCAGTGTAAAAGTGAAGTAACAGTTTGACAGATTTTTTTTGTTGTTAAAGGAATTATTTACACTGATATCCCTACATCATAGCAAGTCAAGGTAATAAGGTTATTTCAGGGAATTATAATAACAATAAATGATCACCTTATTTCAGGGAAATCTGCAATAAAACCCAGCTGTGCAATCATCTTTCCTTATATCAGAGAAAAAAACGCTTTTAGATGCATCAGCTCAGATCATGAAACAAGCCAAACACTGCAAAATACTGAACCTATCTTAAAGGCCAATATTTTTGAATACACAAAAACATACAGATGGTGCCAACTCAAGAAGCTGTCTGCGGGGTATGGATCCTGTACTTGTAAATGTACTGAGAAATTTGTTATTTAAAAGAAAAAAAAAGAAACAACTCTAAACATTCCCTGTGTACCAAAGGGGAAAAAAAAAAAAAACGCACTGACATAAGTGACACAGCGTTTGATGGCCACAGTTCCTCATTTATCAGGTTAGACAAATCACATTTATTATTAGATTTATCAGACTCTATCAGAAATAGCTAATATGGTGCCTATGCTCTCAGGAAAACATAAATTTTAGATACACAGATTAAGCAATCTATCTATTGTCATATATACTCTGCCCAGATGAAAACAAGTCTGCTATCTGTTAGTGAACAAACAGAATGCCACTCAAGTCAACACACAGAACTAAAAGTTGAGTTTTTAGTTAAAGATGACATTAACTCATTAAGCATATAATGTCAATAAAATCACATGAGAAACTGGCATGCTTTTACTAGAAAGGAGCTACTTATTGACACCCATAAACAAACACACTCACAGGGAAAACACAAAATTAGTATCTGAATAACAAATCCTCTGAAAAATAAGTGATTCTTTCAGGTCTGCATGCCACAACAAATGATAAACCTCACTGAACAGTTGCAAAGTTTAAAACCCTGCCATTTATTACTATTATT